TTAACCATTTATCAAACACATTTTTGAAAGTTCATATATAATACATTAATTTTTTATTTGGCGATTGTCATACATTTGTTTTTGTTTTGAATACATCTGTATTAGCAGTAGCTACTTCCGGGTCTTTTTACGCACTTAGGAACGTTCTAACAAGGAACACTTCATGACCGGACTCAAAAGGTAGCGGACAGGAAGTCGTACTACTGTATTCCGTGTAACAAAGCTACTAATTTCAGGTAGTGGATTTGTATAAATACAAACAATACATTTCATATAAATGAAAGTGTAAATATGTTTTTAATTAAGTCAGTAATCTAGAAAATTAAAACGTAAAGCCAGAGCACGTAACGTTAGCGTAGTTATCAAGGAACCCTTGTTTTCATTTGTCTGTCTCTGAAAGGTGTACCTCATAATGAACTATTCTGATTACGACTCCGACGGATACTCGTCGAATGAAGACGCAGACTATGTTCCATCAGGTGAGGCCTTGTGTTTTATTTAGCTGCTTCTTCTTCTTCTGGGTCTGACCACGGTGACGTCTTTAAGCCCCTAATAACCATATAATAACAGAAAACGCGCCATTTTTCCGAAGAAGAAGAACCTTATGTCCATCCAGTACTGCTGAAATAAATTAAGAAACAAGCACTCAATGGAACAGTTAGTTTTAGGGAAACGTGGCCAAAAAGTAAAGGAGTGTGGACTCGCCATTTGGGATGGAAGTGGACCTGTCAGGGTTAATTTTGCTCTGTCCTGGTTTTTTAAATGTTTGGTTAAAGATCCCTGTGCATGGAGTCTGGTTCATGATGACTTTTGCAAAGTCTGTGTTTACATTAAATAAAATCTTATTGTACACACTTTGTATTATCCAGGTCAGGTAAAAGGCATTATTCACCATAGGTCAGAGTTAAGGCTGAAACTCCCAACAAATCAGGATAAATTGCCCTGCTTCCCTTTATTCAAATAGGTTTGAATCTATTAGGACTTGCTCTCTGATTCCTGAGCATGGCTTGGTCTGTAAAACTCACAAAAAAGCTGTTTAAATCTAGTCCTTTACACCTCACACTGTTATGAAAACATTTGACAAACTGGGTATATTTATATAATCTATTTCATAGAATATATTTATATAATCTCTCTTTTTTTGTTCATAGTTTTTAACAATTCTATGGACATTTTAATTCCTTTCTTTTTTTGTTTTTGCATATGATTGTTCAGCATTTGCCATCAAATGAATTAAATCTAGCCTGGAACTTATTTGTATTTTATTCTTGGCAACAAAAAAATAGGATAAATACT